GACTTGGAGGAGAATTTCTGCAGCGGCGGGAGGAGGGGAGGCGGAAGCTGGCCCAGGGCCACGCTGGGCCCCCAACCTTCCCTAAGGGCAAGACAGGAGACAGCACCCGCCCCCCGCCACCCCCAGCACCCCAGGGTGCAACTCCCCACTCCACCCTCCGTTTCCCATCACCCACACAGCCCTGGGTGCATCCTGCCACATCCCAGTGGAGCTGCCCCAGTAAAAATCAGGACAGAGCCCAGATTTCAGAAGGTGCAGGGCTGTGTGTGCCAGAAGCCACCGCAGGGCAGGGAGGGGTTGGCAGGACGGGGGATGAACAGGGGAACGCAAGGGGGAGAGATGCTTCGGGAGAACCCCTCAGCCCCCCCCTCTGTTCCCACCATTGCTCACATTGTGTTTCAGGGCCTCCGGGGCTGTCCACTTCACAGGCAGCAAAGTGGCATCTGCTCCCTTGGGATTGACCCGGGCCAAGCCGAAATCGCTGACTTTGGCCACATTCTCCTCAGAGATGAGTATGTTGCGGGCAGCCAGGTCCCTGTGCACCAGCTTCTTGGACTCCAGGTAGTCCATGCCCTGGGCCACGTCCCTGCCGCAGCCAAGCGGGGCAGAGTGCGGTGTCACCGCCTGTCCCCTGGGGATTCCCGGGGGACGCAGAGCACCTGTCCCCTGGGGATGCCCGGAGGATGCAGAGCACTGGTCCCCAGCCCAGAGGAAAGGAGATGGACTTACAGAGCAAACAGGAGGAGTTGCTGGGTTGGGACAAGCGCCCGGCCCCGTGTGCGCAAGAAGTTCACCAGATTGCCCTGATAGAGGAGGAGAAATGTATAAAAATCAACGGGATGGGGCTGCCCAGGGACTTTAGATCCCCGCAGGGGCTGCAGTGCCCAGCATTCATCCAACTCAGCCCCCACATGGGGATTTTATCCCCAAATCTGAGTGGCAATGGGTCCCGCTGGCTGAGGACTGGCTGTGTGCTGTCACCTTGCTCATGAACTCCATGACGATGTAGAGGCCGTTGTGCAGGATCACGCCAAGCAAACACACCAGGTTTTTGTGCCGCACCTTCCTGAAATGGAGGGGCTGTGGGTCACGGGGGTGCCTGCTCAACCTCAGGCCATGGGGCAGGAGTGGGCCACGTCCTCCTGTGGGGCACTCACGTCATGGCAGCTGTTTCGGTGAGGAAGGCCTGGGCAGTCACATCACACTTGATGTTCTTCACAGCCACCTTCTGTCCCATGTACTCGCCCTGCAGGACGTCTGGGAGGGGATGTGGGGGGTCAGGCTCAGCCCCACACCCGACCCCCACATCCCAGGCTGAGGCCTCCATGACACGGGATTGGGGAGGAGACGTCAGAGGGTGCCATTTGGGGAAGCACACAGCCAGGGAACCTCCAGCCCCATCTTCTCACCTACCTCCAAACTCGCCTTGCCCGATGCGGTCTCCGAGTGTGAGGTGCTGCAGGTTCAGCAACCAGCCGGCTGGGCATGGGCACAGGGGCAGGTTAGCAGGGACCACCATTGGGGCTGTGCTGCCTTGTCCCCAAAATCTGGACCACAACTGTCTCTTGCCATCCCTTACCTTTGGCCAATTCCTCCTCAGCCGACTTCATCCCGGTTTTTGGTTTGGGCTTCACCAGCTTGGTGCAGATGGCTCCCTGCTCCTTCATGTAGTGCTGCGGAGGGATGGACAGAGGCGATGTCACCTCCTGTGCCCGAGCTCAGGGCTTGGAGCCAGGAAACAGCCACAGGATACTCCACGGGACCCCATCACCATCGCCCCCCTCAAGGGGCCCGGAGCCCCTTCAGCCAGGGCAGTACAAATCGCCACGTTTCCCCCAGCCTGCAGTTCGCAGCCCACATCTCAGCCCTGCTCCAGGCACAGCCAGGAAAACACCACAATGGACCATGGGTGATACGGGATGCTACCAGGGGGTCGTATGGCATCTGGTGGGGTTAAAACCCCTGGCAGATGCTGCAGCAGCCAGCAAGGGTGGTTTGCAGAGGTGACACGAAGCCGGAAGGATGGCTGTGAGGGCCATTGTGGTTACAGATTGGGGCCAGGGCAGCTGAAAGGGGAAAGGACCCACACAAAAGCAGAAGTTGTGTATAAATGAGGAAAATGTAGGAGAATGCAGCCCCTGGAGAGGAGACAGCACCTTCAAGACAGGGCGAGGGTGGACCTAGAGGAAGAGCTCATGGGAATGGTGAGAGTGAGCGTGGCAGCCAGGGAGCCCTGCAGGGTCAGCAGGCGAGAGGGGGCTCAGAGGGGAGAGAAATTCAGCAAAGCCTCTGTGGGGCTCAGGCCTCATTCAGGGTCCAGGGGTGACAGGGGCTGCTGGGATCTCAATTTTCAAAAATGCCTTAAGCCCTGCTGCTGTGTGAAGCACTGAATGGGCAGGGATGGGGGAAACATGGCCCTTGGTATGGGACCAAAGCTGCTCCAGGTTCACAGCACAGGACATCCCCAGAGCATCCCAGATCTGTCCATTGCACCCCAAACTGAGCGGGAACCACGAGCCTCTGGCAGGGACGGAGAATTACACCAGGCAGCAAAACTCAGTGAATACCACAGGAGAAAGGGACAGGGACCTGCCACTGCTTTGAGTGGCCCTGGGAGGGTCTGGAGCTGGCAGGGCTCAGTGCCCGAGGAGAGGAGAGCAGGTCTCACCTCGATCATGTCGATGAGGTTGGAGAAGTACTGCTGGCTGTCAATGCTGAGCGTGTTCTCCTCGTGCACCACGCGGTAGTGGATCACCTCCTTGCCGAAGCTCACACACAGCACGTAGTCACCGGGGTGCCGGACGGACTCGCGCACCAGGAACAGCCCGTCCTCGGCCGGCTGCAGCTCCTGCACCGCCTGCACCCCTGAGATCTTCCCATGGAACCAGCTACAGAGAGGGCCATTGGGGAAGGGGCATTGTGTGTGGGGGCATTGGATAGGGAGGTACTGGGGAGGAGGGTATTGGGGATGGGAGTGTGCCGGTGGGCTTCCCCCAGCACCAGCAGTGAGATGGGGAGAGCAGAACCCCTGCCAAAGCTACATAGACCCCACTGCAGAGCCCTCCCCATGAGGTCCATCCAGGCTTGGTGGGCACAGCTGGGGGTCTTTAAAGGCAGATGCTGGCCCCAGAAAATCCCTCCATCTCCAGGGCACAGCTTTGGGCTGCTCTGCCCCCAGCTGCCCACCTGAAACCTGGCTGGGGCGATACACATTGGAC